ATGGGTTTTTGGTACATCATAAATTTTTGTTGGTCAAATTCAATCAAAAATATCTGAAAATACTTCGTTTTATAGATCGTGCCATACTAGTACGTAGAAGATCGCTTAGATCCATAGAGATTCTACAAAGATCTCTGGAGAACTATCTTGAGTTTTTTGCTATTTTGCATTCATATGTATGTCTTTATAGACCAGTACAGCAACGTTAATATTTTAACTCTTGCAAAAGCCATTTTTTGCAAGCATAAGAAGAAGAAACCGCGGAAGAACGTGTTAAAGAGTGTATGTTTTTGTGTCTGCGCTACTGGACGTTTTACGGCAGTTGATGTGATTTACTGCCAAAGGATCGAATTGATGAAAACTACGAATTGCGTGAATCCAGCCTATCAGAAAAGGAAGGAAACTTTTTATCAATAGCAGAAAGCATGATCTGACCTTTGACAGCCTTTTGAGTCAGTCGTTTGCTCAGATTCATAGACTCAGAGTTTTGCTTGATATCTTGCCGGCTGAGATAAAAGACGTTGGTTTTGGTGTCGGTTGAGGCAAATTGATAAAGCTCTTGTGGCATTAGGATGGCATCTGCTCGTTGCCCACTGAGCACTCGACGAGTTGCACGGTATTTCAGAGACGTCCCGATCCCGTCAACTGGACCTTTCCCATGTGCTGTAGCAGAGAATGTCCATGCGGCAGGGATTCCGAAGTCACTCTCGTGATGAGTCAAATTCAGCATCGACTTGTTGCTCTTGAAGTGTTGAGGAGCTCCATCGGTGATATAGTTAACTCGTTTCACGGTGGGATAGCGATGACGAACGAATTGAACAATTACACCTTGAGCAGCATGAACAAAATCAACACTATGGTCAAGGTGATCGCTAACAAAAGCGAGGCTGTGATGAGTGGTTTTGTCTACAGTGATGTGCACCGTAAAAATGGTGGCTTGTGGGGTTGTCCAGTGAGCTTGCTGGATCTCGTGCTGAACAATCAGCGAATGATTTTCGGCAAAGTCCATTTGGACTACCGCTGTTCTATTTGCACGAGCTTCTTCTTTAATCTTTTTAATGTACTCTTGCTGTTGACGAGTGCAGTAGTGATGGACAGCAAACTTCGCCCACTTGACATCGAACTCCTCAAGCAGATCACGAATTGAGCCGCTGACACGTTGCATTGAGATCATTGCAACTGTGGTCGGCTCGTCTTCAGCATCGCCCACCCTCTTCGACGACACAGGCTGAAAAGAATCAACTTTAGGTTATACGTAGACAAAGCACAGAGGAAGATGCTCACTGATTTCCAAGTCATCCAAGAAACACTATCATCAACTGTCACAGTTTGCAAATCCAGAAGCTCACTGAAAAGAAAGCTACCAGGCAGCAGCCACTTGCAATCATCACACTCTCGAAAATAGCACGTTTCCGTTTGCGAAGCACACACACATTCAGCTATGAGACTTTTCATATCTATCGTAGTGACATCCAGGTTGTTCCAACCCTATCAAACAAAGTAGATCCTGGGCTCCTTTATGTAGAAATCTACCTGAAGGAGTAGTTCGAAGTTCTCATGATAGATGCAAGTACAAACATCGTGCGGCTTCTTAACCTTAATCCATTTCGGACGAAGAGCATAAAACCTCGATTTTTGTACAGAACTGGATGACTGGTTGGCTTGTAACTGTTGTACAAAGAGTTGATAGGCTTGGCCTACAGTCATTGACATGTGTCGAATGGCAACGGGATTCTTTTGGATGTGAATTACATCATGTTTATTCGGAGACTGGCGGCTGATGGCATCGTCACTGTAGAAGTCGATGATCTCTTGTACGAGGAGTGGGTCAAGAGGGGTATTGCCGCGCCAGTCAACAGGTACCGCCAGCTTGCCGTATGAGTGACGAAGAGAGATGGCCTTCTGAGACAGATAGCTAGAGCATTCGAAGTATTCCTCAACTTTCGTTCGTCCCCATTCAGGTGGAGCCAGGGTAAGAAGACGAATCTGGTCGTCTCGGTCACTAGAGTTTATCAAAAGCTTGAAACCGTCGAGAAGATATTCCTTATCAGCGAGTTTAAGCGATGAGTGACTTGAGAGCTCGGTGATGTCTTTCGGGTGTCGCTATGCTTCTGCCGCGGATCGAATCAGTTCGACAGCCATCATCACTTGTTTGTCTAGTTGATTCGTCTGTCGCCTAAACAGAGACCAAGTTAAGAAATGGAAGATACGACGATGTACTTACACATCCCTAATCTTCGCAATTCCCAGTATCTGGAATACTTGATTCAGTAGTTCTTTGGTCTGTTCGAGCTTGTATTTCATTTCGGCAGTGTCTGCCATGCTTTCGCTTTCCGCAGACAACGGTGAGAAGGCCGGTGAATCGACTGCTATTGCATCTACTTCCACTAGATCAGAGCTGGAGAAACTTGAACTACTGCGTCGCGGATGTTTGCCATCAGATTCTCTCGATTTAGCATCTTCCACGGCCAAATGGTTATGAAATCGAGTTGACTCTGTCTCGTAACAAGTTCGACATAGAAGATCACCTTCAGATAGGGTGAATCCAACATTCGCATTCGCTTGATAATACTCTTGTGCGATGAACGCGGCAAGATCATTATCAATAGGTCGATTTCCACGTGGACGAAGAGCGCCTGGACCCGACTTTCTTGCACCTTGATGAGAGATTGGATGCGCGCACCACTTCTGATTGCTTCGAGGCATCTCTAACTCAACAACCTATACCACTTTTTGCTCGAATAATGCGCACCTGTAAAGTAGGCAAAATTAACATAATTTCAAACGATACATTCGAACCTTTACGTGTTTATTACCGTATATGTTCTCTCACACTTACCTCAAAACAACACAGTACTATTGAGGAGTGAATACCAGATTCACAAAAAGAAACGAAAAAAGAACGAAATATCCGTACGTGCAGAAATTTACTGCATAATGGAAGAGATACATTAAAAAACAAACCGAACAACACACAAAACAGAACAGAAAGAAAGCAGAAGAGAAAATACCACAGAACAAAGGGAGACCAGCTATACGAGAAAGGCACATGTATAAGACCATGACAAAGTAATCTCTTGTTACTCTTTCTCATCATTTTCAAGTTCTCACGTGGATTTAGTAAAGCTAGACCCAAGACAGTTCTCCAGAGATCTTTGTAGAGTCTCTATGGATCTAAGCGATCTTCTACGTACTAGTATGGCACGATCTATAAAACGAAGTATTTTCAGATATTTTTGATTGAATTTGACCAACAAAAATTTATGATGTACCAAAAACCCATATTGGTTTTCTGGAAGTCCTATCTCAGGGAAACCTTACTCCTTCCCCCCCCCCGACGGCGCACATATGCTTCGATAGATCTTTTATTGCTCTATCAAATGTGATACTTCACTATGTTCAGAGTTCTCTGTTAATGGAGTTTTTGGGCCTGGAATATTCAGCTATAGAAAGGGTTTCCAGAGACCCACCACCCTCAGATCGATCCAAAAACTTTTAAAAGATGTCTATTCTGATAGCCATGATGATGAGGAATCCGAATCTATCATCAGAATTTCTATAGCATAAAGTAGTGCAAAACTACGTGGGTTACAAAGCAGAACGTAATTTAAAGAATCATTCCGGAGGGTACTTGGTATTTGGACTACAGCTCTTCAGTAAGACATGGTATAACTTTTGTCCAATGGTAAAAGAGTCTTACAAATGATTATTGCACAAGCCCTGAAAGTTTCAAACGATTTGGTGAAGGTCAGTGTAAACGTGTCACAAGTACCATGGAACCACCCAAGATTGAAGAGTATGAACAACAATATCAACAAGGTTTGAAAGAATTTCAATCACGTTTCCCTAATACAATTCAGATCAATGAAATTTCTCTTATCGATTCCTTCAAAGCTTACATAGTTCTTCGTACAAATCGAATCATACATGACATCCTGAATAAAATAGCTCATTTTCGTGAAATCATTGCACAACGTTATCAACGTTCGTCATCTACGAAGAAAATGGTCGGTGTATCTCCCGAAGTAACAATTGATGTTCTTCATTGTCCTTTGAAAGCTGATGAATTGTCTTATTTATCTCTAGGTAAATATAATAATAATAATAATAATGGAATAGATTCTCTTAAATATAGATATTTTCAATGATTGTTCTATTTTAGGTGAAAGTTATATACGACCAAATCAAAGTGCTCTTCGTCGAGAAGAACATCGAGAAACACAAATAAAAAATGAAGTTGAAGATATCAGAGAAAAAGTCCATCGTCAAATAAAGAACTACTGCAAGAGAGAACCACCAAAGGCAATGATGGATCATTATTGTGAATTGATTGGAAACCGATTACGTCAACGTTTTATGGCTCCATTATCCTATGTCGATTTCATGCGTGCTCAACGAGAATTCAGATTAGTCAAATCTATTCGGCGAAAAGCACGAAAAGCAAAACTTATTATACGTGTATGTGATAAAGGAGGTGGTCTACATATTGGTAGTAAAAGTGATTATGAAAGAAAAGCAGCTAAATATCGAGAAGATACAAAAGCCTATCAAGAATTATCTTACAATCCATTGAAGGAAATGATAACGAATGTGACAAATGCACTTAATGTTATGAAACAAAATAAAGAACTGACAAACTATAATTATAGTCGTTTGGTACCCAATCCAGAACACGTCAAATTATCTTACAAGTATTACAATCCGAAGCCACATAAGGTTGATCCTCTCGCTGGATGTTTATAATTGATAATAAAATTTGTCTTTTTTCTTCTGTTCTACTTTAGAAAGGAACACCATTACGACCTATCATGAATACAATTAAAGCAGTAACAAGACCTATTTCTGATTTCTTAGATGAACTGATCCGACCTATCTATGACGAATATAATAAAGACAATACGTTTACCGATGGTGTTGATCTCATCAAGTGTCTTGAAAACTATGCAGCTAATGGTCATCTTAAACCAGAGACTCTTTTCTGTACCTTTGATATCAATAATTTGTATACAATGTTACCACAAGATGAAGCCATACGAATTCTAGGTGATTTTCTTCGTCAACATGTCGGTGAAAGAGTCAAAGGTGTCTCTATAGCGACTATTCAAAAATTAGCCGAACTTGTCTTGAAAGAAAACGCTTTTATATCTGATAATAAATTTTATAAGCAAATTATTGGTGGTGCTATGGGTTCACCATTTACTTTAACTTTAGCTAATATTTTTATGTGGCATTGGGAAAAACGTTGGGTTCGACGACAACAAAGCAAAAAAGAAATTTATGGCCGGTATGTGACAGCTAAATCTCTTCCTGAAAACAACTAATTCTATTATTTTCTCTTTATCGTTACAGATATATTGATGATGTCTTCTTTACTTCGAACGAACCTATAGAAACAATTCAACAACTATTAAAAGATGCCAATGGGTGGCATCCTAACATCAAATTGGAATGGAATATTGGTCATAGTGTACCATTTCTCGATGTTCTCGTGAGCAAAAACAATGGAATTCTTTATACTTCTGTTTACCATAAACCATCAGCCGAACCATATGTAGTTCCATTCATCTCTGATCATCCTCGATATACGTTTTCAAACATTATACAAACGGCTCTTGTTCGAGCTATTCGATATTCATCGACATTTGCAGCATTTAACATAGAACGACGTGCTATACGACTCATGTTATTATGTAATGGGTAAGCCTTCTTTCACTTGACAACCATAGATTCATTCATTTTTGGGTTACTTTTTAAGCTATCCATCTACTTATATTGACCAACAATTCCGAAAAGTCTTCGGCAATTCTATTTCATCTACTTCGATCCTACCATTAATTGATAATGAAGGACAATTTTCCGAATTACGCAACAAACTCATGGGTCAAACAACATCTCGATAATCACAAGTAGAAGCACGAATAACACAATCCAAAGATGACAACGGACAATATCCTGCGGAACAACCACTATTTGCCACCATACCAAGACTCCCTACTACCACAACAGTGCAAGGCACAAAAAACAAATTTCAAGATAGAGCCATTATACACTATACGCGTGAGAAACGATTCAAAACGATGAAAAAAGATATGCATGAAATTTTTCGTGAAGCTTTTAAATGCCTTGGAATTGAAGCTCTTCGACTCATTGTTGGTCATCGAAATAGTCCTTCTACGCAACGTGAACTCATAAGAAAGAGACCACATCCAAAACATCTTACGCTCAAAGGACAACAAAGTAAGACCGACCATACCGTGTGCCCCATACTTAATAAAAACGATTTTTTTCCCCAGCACACAAAAATTTCCATTATCCAATTTCTTTCTAGAAGCAGAAGAAAATGCAGCCAACACATCACGACCAACTTCTTAATACCAAACCAAACCGATGGCCATCACTGCATATCATCAACAAACCTACAAAAACACTCTGAAATACTTTCTCGCTTCTCATTTTCATACTTACTCCTAGCATTCTCTCCTTTCTCTCCTTCAATCTTTACCACTTCCTTCATTTGAATAAAAAAAAAATTAAAAAAAAAATTAACCCCTTCCATAAATCCCTCGATTCGAAACCAAAGTAGAAAATAAAAAATTTCAATTCTAGATAAAAATATTCAACAAACTCAAGCGGATGCCAGAAAAAAAAACTAGAGAAGCATCAACACATACCCATATCACTGGACAATACATTAAATCAGGTTCACACGGCGGCAATACAATATGCACCACCTAAACAAACAATACAATCCAATAAAAAACACACAAACACCAAACAAATAAAAACACATATTTCAAAATATGCCAACATAAACACCCAATACCAAGAATACATACAATTTCGATCAGCCATAAACCACAAAACAAAAAAAAAACAAGCTCGTCGAAAACAATACCATACTTCATCCAAGCAATGTCGACATCATGGTTGCTCCTACACACCCACACCCGCACCCACTTGATAAGTTTGAGTTAGAAACATCTGAAATAATCTATACATAGGTTATCGTGGTAACTTATACACACCCACACCCACCCTCAAGATCTCTAAAGTTAAGTTTGAAATAAAACAAACTCAGAAAAAGGATGTCATTGTGATTTTGATTAGTCTAAGAATTATTTCTATTCGTGTGATACTATGATTATTGACAGAACTTGTTCAAACTTAATGATCAAGCAATTTCTATCGTTCTTAAATACTGCAAACATAGATAGAAGTAAGAAATGAATGAATACTTTGCCATTTTCGATCTTGTTGCAATGGAAAAATAACGAATCACTATTGCACTGGTGAACTAGGAGCATTGGACGTCAGTGAGTAACTGTATTGCATATTATTCATGCTTGTACAAAGCGAAAGAAAAACAAAATTCATAGTGAGCAATGAAATAGAGAAAAAGAAATGAAATGGTTAAAGCTGATTCACACCGTAATTTCATCATAATAAAGCAACAAGCAACATTCATTGTATTTTTACCTATAAAAACAAGTCGAATTCATCGTGTTCTCTCATATTGTCTGACGAATAACAACAACAATGGTATCAACCTTGAAAGATTTGCTTAGCGAACATTTACTCCAACATAACGAACCGAATCAAGTGTCAACCAATCAACTTGATGGCAAAACTGTGGCACTCTATTTCTCGTCAGTAGATTTATCTATTATGTCAATTGATGGTACCGAAATTTGTTTTTATACAGGGCTCATTGGTGTCCACCATGTCGCAATTTCACACCGAAATTAGCTGAAGTCTACAAACAAGCTCCGAGAGAAATTCATGACAAAATCGACGTTGTCTTCATTTCATATGATAAAGATCAAGAGAATTTCGATGAATATTTCAAAGAGATGCCATGAAAGGCACTACCGTTTTCGGGTATGGCGATTTTTCTTTGAAACGAGAGACATAACATACATTCATTCTTTCTTTTAAGAGAATAGTCTTTACTAAAAGCTTTTCATTTAGAACGTGATCGCAAAGACACATTGGATAGGAAATTCAACATTGAAGGCATTCCATCTCTAATCGTTCTTAAACCATCAGGTGATATTCTCACTTCGTCTGGCGTTGAAGAAGTACAAGCAGTATCGGACGAAGCTTTTCGATTGTGGTCTGAAGGTAAAGCTCTCTTTTGGACACGTTCACCAGGTGAAGATGAACATGTCTGGGACGACATTGCCTGTACTCGATGTCATATGCGTCCAATTGTCGGTACACGTTATGGTTGTGCTCATCAAGATTGTGATATTGATCTGTGCGAAGATTGTCTTACAAAGTATACACATGATCATCCTATTGAAAAGTATCTCATTCCTAAAAAATCTTATTCTTTGGAACACTTGTTTGTCTCAATACCCTATTTGCTTGCTCCGAAAAAGGGAGAAAATATTGAAACAAAGACACTTTGGAATGATGATGTGAAAAATATCGCAATCTATTTTTCCGCTAAATGGTATTCACCTGCTCAGGAATTTACTTCCAAATTGGCTCAATTGTATGAAGAAGTGCAAACAAGTGATCATCCATTTCGAATAATATTTGTGTCAAGTGATGAAAATGAAAGTTCTTTCGATGAATTTCGCGCTGACATGCCCTGGCCTGCTGTTCCTTTTAACAAGGGCGCTATATTAAAACAGTATTTTCAATGCGGTAATCAATCAGAGTATTCTATGTATTGTTTCGTTCATTGATATTATTTGTTTTTTTTTCAGGTGTTCATACACTTATTGTCCTTTCATCGGAAGGAAAAATTGTGACACGTCGTGGTCGTAATTATGTCTCGAGCAGAGGAATCGAGGCTTTGAAAACTTGGGCCAAAGGTGAACGTTTGTCTCCTTTAACCGAAGATGAATTTGAATGGGCGGGTTTTTATTGCGATGGATGCGAGACGGCTCCAATGATCGGTAAACGTTATCATTGTTCAACATGTGGAAATTATGATCTTTGTTCGGTTTGTGAAAAGAAAGGACATGAACATCCACTCGAACTTGTTCCAATACCAAATGATGAGTGACAGATGGTTTTTTCTTAATCAATTTCACCGATTGTGTTTAAATATATTCAATTAGTTTCTTTCTATTTTGATAATAAATAATTTTTTCCCATACACAATTCAATCAATATTGAATCTGCAAAAATCGCACGTGTGTCTTATAGTTAAATATTGAAGTAAAGTTCTGAGCCACCTCATAATTCAATCACAAATGCAGAAAATTACTCAGATCTTTTATCCGAATATAATAATACTCGTGCCTACACAGCAGATCAAAATTAGACCAAAATATTTTATAGAAACCCAGTAAACTATTTCTAACTATTCGTTTCCGATGAATCATCTCCATGAGAGTTCAATGTTTGATTATTCGATGAATGACACATTTTGCTCAAGAGCAAAGACTCCAGCGCATCTTTTCCAATAACGTGGATTTTTTGATTTCTACGATTGTCAATTTGTCTCTATAACGTATAGACAGAAAAAAAATAGTTTACTAGAAACTTATTTTCTGTTTTCTCTACGATAACTATTGTCCGAGGAATAAAGGGCTCAAAACAAGCCCAATATACGATGACCTCATGACAACGAACAGTACAAATAGATAACAAGTGTTCCTTTAGGATCAATTAAAAAGACTTATCTGATATATGACAACTTTTCGAAGTTCTACGAAAAATTTCACTAACAGTGAATATTATGTAGCATAATACCATCATATTGGACTAAATTCATGCTAGACAGTTTAAATCAAGAAGGAAGCATGTGTAATAGAAAGAACCATTTGCGTTGTATCTATGATAAAAATATCACATCGGTTCATAACTTTTTATAAAGTGAATCCACTGTGACGTTTGTGAGCAGGGTTGCCAAATCCAAATCTTAGAAATCAGGAGATTTTTTTTTAAATTCAGAAGTTGAACAGTAGATTTCTTCTAGAAAATCAGGAGAAAAATCAGGACGTTTTTTCCGAAGAATCAGAAGAGAATCAGAAGACTTTTCCAAAAAATTCGGAGAAAAATCAGAAGATTTTTTCAAATCAGGTTAAACAGAAAAGCACTAGACAGTTTTCTCTTGTAGAGGCAATATTGTCACTGTTAACTTACAAAGTCTTCTGACTTTTCTCTATCAAATGAGTAGGGAAATAATTATCTCGCAAGTGAAATAAAGAAAAGAGACGGGTAATCATGAATATGTCTCGATATCTCAAATTGAAAATCTTGAAACAAAAAATCTCGAATAAATCTATG